AGATAGACTGAATCGTTTTTGATGAATTTTTGTAATAATAGTCTAAGTTATTCGTTTTAACGATTTGGAGGCAATGTATCATCAAAAATCCTTTCAGATCCCAAAAAACTGATACGATGTTCGTTTCGAACTTTTAGACCTGAAGTTGACTCGGAGACGAAGAACATGATCTTACCAAAGATACGCAATTATTTGCAATTCACATTAAACTATCAACAACAATATTCATTGGTTTTCTTGTGTGTTCACCTGGTAAGTGGTAACTCCCAACAGCAAATCTTGGAATGTCGTGCCTATTTGCTCGTTAATTGACTCAGTGTTCAACTGTAGTGCACTACAGCTTTTTACTAATATTTGTGTTGCTATTCGAACCAAATCTAAGGTTTCAAGAAATTTAATTTATAAGCCTGTATTTATTATTAATTTTATATAAATCTATGAAATGAAAATTTTACAATGTTGCAAATATCTTTATTGTAAACTCTTTTGGGTATCCCAAATTTTCTTAAATAGGTAATCAAAATCAGTCAAGTAATTTCTTAATTCATAATTATTTGTAGCAGTACACTGCCTATAATGCAAATCAGCAATGAAAACCATTCGCTGTTGTTTTGAAAGACTCGCTGTCTTTAACGAAGCAATACAATGCACTGCATTCATCTATGCGAATAGTGAACTGTTTCGCTTCATGTGTATACGTCTTAAGGCGTAGTGGTTCACTCAACTTCTTAGTCTTCTGCTTTCATCCAGAATCATGGTAATAGACCCTAGACGTAGCCATACTAATGTAAAGTGTCGTATTCGTATGTGGTTGTATCGCGGTCACAGCTTTTTATAACCGACAACTTGAGAAAAAAGTGCCTGATGTCTTAGACACATTTTTGAAAACTCTGATGACATCGGTTTGTAAAAGGCCCTTTTTAATTATGTTTTTGGAATGTAGTTGTCCTACATTTTGCAGATTGAAAGCCGTTTAGTATAAGTGATAGCAGAAGTAATAGTAGAAGTGTCATTTGTCTTTGCAGTCTTTGCATATATAGAAGAAGAGTGTTAATCAACGCTTTCTGTGCGGCAAAAGAAATTGCTTTTATTGGTTCGATGATACATAGCACTACTACCGTTTCCATTTTTTCAGTTAACTTTAGGTGTATATTTTTAAATACTACTGCCAACCATAGTAAAATGCTATGGAGTATGGAGTAAGATAAGGTCTCGCAATACTAATGCTTTATAAATGGTTAAAGATTCTAAACAGTGGCGGAACTAGACCAACTCTGGACGTCGGCGACATTAGAATTGCTAGGCCCCCTTTATAACCCAGTTGTAAAAGAAGATAAGTTACATTCACTAATATGACAAACATGATTGAAACTTTTATTGCTAATCAAATTAAAATAAATGAATTTTACTACTTTTAGATTCACTAAATTTTTTTTTAAAATTATATCATAATTTGATCCAGCTGCTATTTTCGCTTCAGTTTATAAAATTTCGAATGGAGATAGTCTCTCTTGGATCATCATACTTTTCTGGTACGTCTTATTCAATTCTAAATTTGAGAAGCTTCATTTCGTCGAAACTATACTGACTGGAACTGTGAACATGAATCTGGTTACTATATAAACATTCGGGAATTCTTCGAATATGGTTAATGCCATTATCAAACCAAATTGTTCAAAATATTTATTAAGTGCTTAGAATCCACAGTCAGTAACTTTTTGCGGGGCCCATGTGGGCGCGAGGACGTCGTCCGACATCGCTGACGCCTAGCGACGCCACTGATTCTAAATGCTTCTCAGCTTCTTTACTATTTCTTCAACATCTGACTTCCATAACTTCCATATTAAAGTTTTAGGGTTTTAGTGCATATCTCTGTACTATATTATCATTATTTGTTTATTTGTTTTTAAATGCATATTTTTTTTTAGTAACACTTATTGTGAGTCTAATGTGAAGCGGACCTAAAATCCAAGACATTATATTATTAGATTAAATTGTTGAAATTATGCTTGAATAACATTCGTGATGACACTCATTCTTGCTATATTGACATGTCAATAAACAAAATTATAACATCTGGACTATGTATGTGGACATTACTTAAACTCCTGAAGCTTTACAAACAAAAGTCTGTAAGGTAACTAACTTTACAATTAACCATCTGAAATCTGTAACGATTTTACTTTTTGAAAGATCAACTGCTTTGACTATTTACTGCTTAAGCGAAGAAATTTCGAAATATCTGTAGACACTAGGTTGGTCCCTTTGTAAACGGTTAACAGATTACGATTTATAAGATAAAGTGTTCGGTTTTATAGACCAAAAAACCTTTTCGATTACGATTTATTTGCTTGGCCGATAAACAAAACATTATCTAAATACGATCTAAATACGAATATGTCGTTATATCGATAACTAAATAAAGGGTTTCAATTATAATTGGGTATATGGCAAACCAAATGTGTTTAAAAAGCGTCACAAATGATTTCTACTGTATACAAAACTAAATTTCCAGTGAACTGGTCTGTAACCATAACTAATTATTTTCACTACCAAATCTGTAACAGAGATAATGCTGATAATCAATACGTCTATTCAGCACTTTTATGAGCAATACTAGTTTTAATATCTATACAGAAGAATAAGGTGACACCCTGCTAAACTACCAAAACATACAAGCAGAGCGTTTATAGTAAGATCATAATTTATGTCGATCTACATAAGTTTTTGAATAACTTGACAACATGCAATTGATAAACTAGACATAAATTTCATTCCAAAATATCAAGGAACTTACAATTACCATTAGAAGATAATTAGAATGGGAATTACAGCAGTAAAAAGAAACAACAACTAAAATTTTATTAATCTCAGTAGTTTTCTCAAAATAATTATAGGTCAAACTGAATGATATACTGGGGGACACATTTGTCAATGTCATACTATCGATTGCTCTCAAAAACTTTCAAGAACGAGGAGACATTTTCTGAAAAGATCAGTACCAATCTTTGCGTATGCCAATAACAATCCAATTATTAGTACATTAAACAAAATAAACAATATAATTCATTAAGTTGAAGTGTCATGGATTATCCTAAATTTTTACCAGGGTCTCTCCGATGTAAGCATTCGATAAGAGCACAAAATCTGAATTTTAATACTACACGCATAGCAGTACTTCAAAACAAGTACCTTATTAATTTTATTTTTGTATGTCACTCCTTTAACAAAAGCTTTATATTATTTTATGAAAAGAAAGATTATTTACGTTGCCACACTAATATTCAATAGAAGATTTTTATTAGGGTTTTGACATTATACATATACAGTAGCAAAAGTGACAGCTCAGAATGGATAGGATACCGATCATAACTAGTACGACTTTTAATGAACTGGATCCAATGCTTTCCAGTTCTGGATAGTACTGGATAGTACAAGTTTGTCCGGATTTACCATAAGCAATTGTATGTGAGGAGATGAAAGATTTCATGGGTTTTCTCAAAAACACTACAACCGAATTTGGTGGTAACAATGTTTTATGGAAGGTTCGCTAAAAAAAATATTTCGTCGCTTCATTCCGTTTTTATTTATTTTGATTTTATGAGATAATCCATATGCATGAAAATATTCTTAAGTTGGATATCATTAAATTTAGGCATATGTCAAAGTTGACTCTAATTTTGAAAATTTGTTTCTCATTTTCTCAGTATTGACTGTATAAGTACAAAATTATTCAATTTGAGTAGGAACTAATATCAATGGTTACAACCACTTTTCAAACACAACAACCTTAGCGTGAAGAACAGAAAACTGATCTATAGCCAGATAATTAGACCAGCATTACTTAATGGGTGTGTCGCGTATAGCAAAGCTGCCGACTCTACTAAACAAAAGCTACAAGCTGCTCAAAGTCAGGTTCTCCGAAGGCTCTTCAAAGTTCCTTGGTACATCCGCACAAACAACATGCTAAGAGACCTTAGAATAGACCGATCAAAAAATACATAAGGGACAGAGCCCTGATGTTATATGCGAAAATTGACAGGCTATCCTACTAACCACTATCTAATCGTAGAGAAATCACTCTCCGCACGGGGAGGTACGCAGATCTTAGATCAATCACTAAATAATCATGAAGCTTATAAGGAATACATAAATTAGTGAATGAGATGGTTGCGACCCTGTAGCTATCAAAGAGTAAAAGTGCGCAGTTGCGCTGACTCGAAAAAAGGATCAACATACATACATTTTATAGTTATAAAAATAATTAACCTACAATTATTAAAATTGATTAGTAAATGCAACAACTTTTAATTTAATTAATTTTTATAAATATATCTTATTTTATGACCAAAAAATATTAATGTTGTGTTTAATTATACTAATTGATTAATTACTTTAAACTGTTATTATAAATATGTCTATTATTAATTTATTTATTTATTTGTGAGTAGACATTAAAATTAATTTTAAAGTTAACTAAGAATAAGAAACTAGACTGCTAGATCCTTCGCCCTGAGTAGTATAAATAAAATGTGCGCCCAGATCCATAAAAGTGTTATACATCAATGAAGAAGTGCAGGATTTTATAATTTAGTGTAAAGTTTTAAAAACTATTATTTTTCTTTATACTTATATATATGTTTTGTCTATTATGATGGATTTAATTATGCTGACTAGTATTTCGTTGTAAAGTTATCAGTTTCTTTAAAACGACCTTATAATAATGTCGATATATTGAAAATAAAATAAAAATTAGTGTGTAATAGTTAAATTTGTTTTTATTTATTTTCATTAATAACACAGTTGAAAGTAATTGACCAATTAGTTTAATAGAACACAAAAGGTCTAAAGGACTGCAAAAAACTTGTCTCAATTCTTGCCGTTTCGCAATAATTTTTGGATCTTTCCCGTCATGTCTGAATATTGTTTAATTAGTGTAATTAATTATATTATCCCCTATTCAAAGTATATTGTATAACAATATTTTTATTATCACTTACCTTCATATTGAGTTGACAAAGTATTTATTTAAAAAAAAAAAGAAACTTCATATGTATCTTAAGGATTGTAACAAAAAAAGTTTAACTTTTAGCTTTTGCATTATAGACATTTTTCAGTAATAGAAACTTCAGATCCAGGCTTTACTTAAAATCTGCTCATAAAACAATGTATCAGAAAATGTAATTCATTTGTAAAATTTGTGTAGCCCCTGCCATCAAAACAATACAGAATGCCTGCAGCTGTCATGAGGCTAGGTAACTTACTACGCTGTTTTATGCATATTTGGTTCACTTTGCAAACATATAGTTTTCTCTTTTTCCCTAGTGATGTTGCTTGCTCTTCAACATGATTGGTGAATAAACAACCAACCAATAGCAAGCATCACACACTAATGGCAAAGTGAAAATTTATGGGTTTGTGTGTAATTTGCCATTTTCATTCATAATAAGTAGATTGCGCTTTAAGTTTATTTCAAATAATAAACTTAAATATCTATATACTTGTATTCATTATTTAAAATTTCAATATTTTTACCTCATTTTCCACCCGTGTCCTTAGATAATACTGTTGTCTTAAAACGTACTGAATTTTTCTTGGTAAAAGCTTAACGGTAAAGTGGTGCCATAAAATATTGTTAATAAAATGAGTCCCAAGACTACTTAACGTACTTAGCACCACCAGTAAAACTTGGCTTTTTAACTTGAATTAAAACAAAATGTTTTTAATTTCAATGAATAATTCTGTTGAGTTGAATGTTACACTTAGATTAGTTTTGAGAGGATTCCTCAGTACTTCTGGGTTTGATTGCAAGGGCTGCACCCGATTATACAAAATCTATACAATTCTACACTAGCCAAACACATTGCTGTACCCAACATATGGCACAAAAATTGTATTTAACTTTGCGTAAGGAGATTTGATTTTTTCGCTCCTTTAGTGAAACAATGTTATCGTCGAAATAAATGAAAAGTTCAATGCCGGATAAGAAGGGTGTTCTTCTAATATTGTAGCTATTGTTATGCAATAAAAGTGAAACTATTTGCTTTACTTTAATGCTTTATTTGCTTGTATTGTTCCACAGAATGAGGCAAAGAGCTAACAATGAGAAGAATTTATTTGTCAGATGAGATACGCATCGCTCATTTTTCGCTTCGCTGAGTACGTCTGATAAAAGTACGTATGTGCGTATATACAACGATGCTGAAACCATGAAATCCGTATGTGGTTGCAATTCGAATAAACATTTTAAGTTCAATTAGATAATACGTAAGCAAAATAAGGTCGTTTCGATATAGATATACAATTATAGATAGTCACATTATAAAGCTACTTAATTAAATTCATTTTTCGTTACTGCTGCGGTCAATTTGTAAATATTTGCTCCTTTCATTATTGCTGTTTATGAATCGATGTTTTTCAATTAATACATATAATTATTTGTTCACACTTAATTGTATGTAGGTGGCGCTGTGATATAAAAGTGTGTTTCCTTCAATCAAGTAGAAAACTGGTTTATACTTTAAATACAAATTGTGCAGTGTTAGCAAACTATTTTACCTGATATATCGTATGCAACATAGTTACACTTAACAGTGGTCATGCACTACACGATAATATAGCAATGTTATCTAACATATCGTATGCATATCATCTAACATATCGCCTAACAGTCGTCGTTGCACTGCGCGAAAATATAGCAGTACAGGTCATGATGTAGTAACAACATAGCTTACAACATGACTTCAATTCTATCTCAGAAAAGTAATAGAGAAAAATGAATAACATGAGTAACTACACATAAGTGTTCAATTTATTTTTGTAACAAGAGATGTAGCACCTTTGTCTCAGAAGTGTGGCCACGTGCCCTCCACGCAAAGCAGGGATAAAGCAAATGATTTGACTGGATTGTTGACATTAAGTGCGCGAACTTACATATTAATAGCATGAATATACGAAAGTATCTTCTATTTGGTTTGGTTTTATTTCATTTTGTGAAAATTTCAACTCTTGAAACGTACACTCAGAGGAGATCAAAGCGAATTACATCAAAGATATTTTAATAGTCTCCGTCAGAAAGCTTATGTAAAGAGCATGAAAGCACAGTCGTCGACAAAAGCGTCATATAGTAGATTTTTGATATTACCCTTATCTCAAAAAGCCTATCTAAACCACAGAAGTATATAATACTTCCAAATTAATTGGCAACAAAAAAGACACCACTTGGAACGCGGTATGCAGTATGCGCTTTATTCACTTTTCTGCTTTATTTAAAAATTCCAAACCCGATTCTAAATATTTTGTGTAGTTAAATATTATTTTTCTATCATATGCTTGTTTTAGTTATCCAAATATGAATGCACTAAGAAAACTGTGGAGCATTTATTTAATTATTCTGCAGGTGAGCGAAGCTGACATTCGCATATAAGCGAGTCATTATTGCTTTTAATGCAAAACTAAATTGTCTGCATGTGAGTTGTCATATATACAATATTTTTTAGGTCTCATCAATTAATCGCGTGTTACGAAATTTAGCTTCACAAAAGGAACAGCAAGCACAACAACAAAATGAGTCTGTTTACGAGAAGTTACGAATGTTTAATGGGCAATCAGGTGGTTGGGCATGGTATCCGGGCAACACAGCCTCAACTGCGCATCACCACATTTCCTTACCTCCAGCTGCAACAACACCCGCGACGAATTTAGCTAATCAAATTACTCGAGACGAGCTTCAAAAACGTGGTAAGTACCTTATTAACCTGCAAAAAATCTATCAATCTACCATCTTGCTCTGTTTGTTTACCATTCATCGCAATATTTCAACATCAACTTCTTCTATTCTTACTGAACATAACTAATACTGTCTTAAATATGTTTGTTATATTTTATTTATTTTTCTTGATTTGATCCCATCATAACTCATTTCCTAGCCCAAAACACTGCAACCACACTTCGTTTTGTGGCCCTTCGCGATGTGACATTACTTGCGAATATGCGACCAATTCTGAAAAATGACAAAAAGCAAATACATTAAGCATTCCTTGAGCTACATAACCCCTTAATAGAGTTCTTACTGTTTTCATATCAACAATTTAATTCTCTAAAATAAGAGCCATATGTGATTAATTAAGTAAATGTAATTGTTCTCTATTTTGCAATAACGAATCAAACATGGCGATGTTATTTACAACTAACGATATCCTATATAATTTACTTCTCGAGCATGTAATTATCTTCAGATACAGAAAACCATTCAATGTCCTGTTGTATTTTCTTAAAGTTTCTGTATTCTGTATTCTTATAATCATGCCAACCGTTTTTATTCGAGAGTACGCTAACCCTACCCACATTTATTCCACTTCATCAGTGATTGTAGTTTTGTCACAGATGAGTAAACAAAAGAGCAACGGATAAGAGCTGACAAATACTTTTCATGGACATGTGTGCAAAACAGAATATTTCATGCAATTAATGACATTTACGAAAATACCGAGCATATGCTAAGTACAACGAACAATTCCTAAAGTTTTTCCTAACTTTAATGATGCTATCTAAACCATAAAGTCCTAATAGTCGCATGTTTTGTCGTCGACCCCAACAATTGAACTATAAATGTCATATAATTTTAAAATTGCAGTCATATAATATATCAGTAAATAGAGGAAATATATCTATGAAATAAATTGCAATATGCACTAAATGATTTATTTATGTTCCAACAGAATAAGTCTCGAGAACTTGTTTTTCCAAATACTACAAAAGTGAATGTATAGCAAATTTTGATATATATGAAATTAATCTTTTTAATAAGATTTTCTAGAACACAAATAATTTTAGTTTTTGAATATACATATACATACGTGTATTCTCGGGTGAATTCGATATATGTTAAGATAAAAATGTTACATTGGAAGGGTGTAGTGAAATCGGACGATTATGTTTTCGCTTATTTAAATCGTTTAAAATTATAATTGTTTGCTATTATAAATTTTTGTTTTTTGATAAATCATTTGGTTTTGATTATTAAATTATTTAATATTGTATATTTGCTGTGTTCGATTCATCGACTATTTGGCAAGGTGAATTTAATTTCGTTAGAAAAATAAGTAAATATGAGAGTAGTAACGACAACTAAGCCATCTTGGAGGAAAGGTTAAATTCGTTCTTATATTGGCTTAGAGAGAGACGAGAGAACATTTTGAATTTGCTTCCCGACCTAGTTCCTTTAATAATGGTTTTTATATATGTTTTAAATTTAATTTAAAAAAAAAGGTGACCTGTAGCCGGATATAAAATATATAAGAAAACAGTATTAATTTAATATAACTAATGCCTCATGAACTCAATATGTTTAAATTTCAAAAGAAGTTTTGTGTCAACTACTCCGTATAGTTAAAAGCAATAATAATAATTACCTTCAGCGTGACCATACTGTTTTATTCACACAACCCTCTAGATTTTGTAAATCGAACCCAGCAATAATATCGCTTATTTTAATTTTTAGTAATTCCATTCTTCTTCTTATTTTACAATTCTAATGAACTGAATTTCACACGTTTAACTGTAATTTCGTGAATATTTATATCTAAAATAAAAAGAGTCTAATATTTTTTTTTGTTGGTGTTTATTTTCAGAAATATTTTCTGGTGAAATTTCTCATCCTCACTCCCACGAAAGTACCTCTGATGGAAATTCAGATCATAATTCATCTGGAGATGAGGATTCACAGATGCGATTACGTTTGAAAAGGAAATTGCAAAGAAATCGAACGTCGTTTACAAACGATCAGATAGATAGCTTGGAAAAAGGTAAGATAATTAATTATATTAATGAAGTATTAATAATTAGTCTTAGTATTAATAATTATATTAAACAAACAATTTGACAAAACACAAGAAAAATTTCTATAATATATAATATTATCAGGTCAATACTTTAATACTAAATAACATTAAAGATAAAGTCGCCGAGACAAACACAATTTTTATTCTACTTTTTATTCTTAATTTTCTCTTGGCCAGTATTGATCATAGTAAAAAAAATTCCAAAGTAAACTTTAAAAAGTCTTAGTAGCTTCTATTATAACTGGTAGCGCTTTAAATAACTCTTTCTAGTTTATTTGTTATTAATGTTTAACAACATTATCTATTGTTTTTTTAAGAAAGAAACCTTTAAAGATATTGAAAACCCATTTTTTTAAATGTTTTGGAGTTTCAACACTTCTTCTTTTGTCTCTCAGACATTTGTGTTTTTAAGAGTACAACCTTTGGTATTCCATTGCAGTGCAGATTACGGAATAATTGCATATTAATTCTCTGTCCTCATTAATAAAATAGTTTGATCTGCTCTTGAAGATTGTCCCGTATTGATCAGGTGCTGTCGTTTGCACTGTTTGAGATCAAGCTTTAATACATCATAAGATTTTATATAAATGGGCGTAGTCAAGAAGCGGGGCGTAGAATATAAATACGAATGGAATAATTATATCATCTTATGGAAAGACAACCGTTTTTATAGTATATGTATTTTGCAATTATATAGCAAAGTATAACAGAACTACAGCTCAGATTGAAACATTAATGAGCCTTTTTACGAGTACTTGAAGATCAGTGGTGGCGCTAGTCGATGGCCGACGGCCACTCGCCTAGAAGGACCTCGCAAAACGTTGTGTATATTTCTTAAAATCTTAACTTCACTTACTAGAGAAAAAATTATATTGTTTGTTTCTTATTACGTGAATCCCATATTGTGAGCATCTCTTAACAATGGAGGTATTCACTGTTAGGCGCAACAGTGAATGTTTTATTAGGCCCAACATTCATTGCCATAATAAAATTCTTAGCTTCTTATAATCCACCATTTAGTTCTCATAGAGAATCTTTAAGCCTGGACTATAGTGAAAATAGTTATAATTTCATAGATCTCCTTAAGTTGTTATCCAAAGCTGACCTTGCACTACGGGAGCACCTGCAACTTAACAAATAACTTAATATTAATTTAGTCACGAAATCCAGAATGATTTAATTATATTAATGTCTTAGACAACTCTGACAATCCTGAATATCAATCCAAGAGTAATCCAAGAGTCGAGCAAGCGTTGGTGAAAACTTGTTAAAACTAAATTAAAAATAACCTAAAAATCTTCTGAAATAAGATGGGACAGTAGAATCGAAGCAGTAAAAGTGATATCTTTGCAATTTGATTCTAAAGCACTAAGTGATTGTGAAGCAGTCCTAAATGAAATGCTTACTTTTGAGCTTATTGTTGCAATACACGTATTGTATGAAATTTTACAAGAGTGAACATTATAGAAAAACAATTGTATTCGACTAAAGTAAACTTGAAGATCGCTAATGATAGTCTACGCACATTTCGTAGGACTATCTAGTATTACTAATTGAATATCTAGTTTTTCAAAAAAAACGTTGAACAACCCTAATTGTTTGTAGAAAAAAGTAGTAACAAAGTTGCACCTAAATTTAAAGGAAATAGAAAAGCAAAGAAAAATGATTGTTCAGTTATGAACATATTGATGAATCCATACAATCCGTTGAAATACAGTATTAAGTTAACTTTTTCTACTACAGTGTTAGATGCTATCATAATTTATACCGATTTCCGATTCAAAGCACTTTATTTGGTTTCATGTATAACATTAAGCCTATAAAAAGTATACCACACAAAGACCTCAAGCATTCTAATGGTTTAGGTGTAATACTTCGGGAAAGTGAAAACAACTTTCATCCTTTTAAACTGCATGAAAAACTGTAGATTTTAAAATCGCTCAGTAGATATAAAGCAACTTATTCGGAAGATTAAAGAATATAATTTAGAAAAACTATATCCGAATGTTTTCGATTCATAAATCTGCATTCAATCTAGATTTACTCTTGATCTGTCAAATTTTGTTGCCCAATCGAGCATTGTTAGAATAATCTAACATTTTTTGGCAATTTTTCCTAGACATTTACATTTCTGACAAACGCACATAGTCAATCAAATCACAGTTTATATGTCAAATAATATAAAACAGCTGTTAATTTCAGGGTAATCTTACTACTTTGGCAAAATATGTCTCATAAATTAGTCCCGAGTGTTATACGTTTTGTCCGGCATTTACCAATCGAAAATTAAATTGCGTTAAAAGCGCATTTAAAGATCATTAACAGATTGAAAAATTCGATTGAAAAAGTTATTCCAAATTTTGTAATCCTAAACGTCAATAGTAACCAGAATTATGCTCATAGTTCCAGTCAGCACAGCTTTTGCTAAAAGAAGCTTCTTAAAGCTAAAATTGATTAAGGCATATTTAGAAGTACATTGAGCCAAGAGATACTATCTGGTGAAAATTCAGAGATTTAAAAAAATTCAGAGAGGGTAAAAGTAGGAAATTTCATTTATTTTAATTTGACTTTATTTTAATTTGATTAGCAATACATAGTTTCATACTTACTTGGTCATATTAGTGAATGAAAATTATTTACTTTAATAAATCGATAATGAAAGGACCTCGCAATTCTGATGTCGTCAACATTCGGAGTTGGGTTAAGACTGCCACTGTTGAAGGTAACCTGATGATATTATCAACGTTTGAATTAACCATAATATACACATTTTACTATTTACAATAAAAATATGAGCTGAATATAAGCTTCAATTCCTTGATTTAGCGTAATAATCTTTAGGGTAAAATCTAATTTACGCTGGGCGTCGCGGCGTTTTATTACTTAATTACTTACTCTTTAATTACTTAAATTAAATTAAATTTCTGTAATGTTAGTTAATCTTATGGGAAAAGATTTTTTGTCAATTGTGAATATAAAACATTACTTGAAACTGTATTTTCTCTCTACGTTCGTTTAGAAAACTCACGAAAATAATATTGAAAAGTTTTAAAATGTTAATGTTATATACAAAATAAAGAAAATATTTAAATACAATGGCAACACATTATTGTCAGGTCCAATTAAGTTAAATAATATATTATATGTAAATTTAATAAATGTATATTTATATAATAAATACTTTTTTAAATTTTTTTTATAAATATTCAGCGTTTATTATTATTTATTTTCGATAAGAAATGGTTTTTATATATTGCATATGTTAGATATATTTTAACATTGGTAACTCTAGTTATTGCTGCCACCTGAGAAGTAATTTTATATTGGCAACTTCTTTTACCATTTTTCGGTATTCAGTTTGTGTGAGGGGATTTTTTTTTTGTTTTTTAATTAGATTTAGTATATAAGATATTAAAAGAATACATAAAACATACATAAAGCAACTAGTTATTAGGTAACTAACAATCAATTTAAATTTAATCAGATTTAGGGGATTTCGCGGAATATTTAATCAACTGTAGTACATTTCAATAATGTAAGTGCAAAGATAGCAAGGCTCTTGGCGCCTGTTGGTTCAGTTGTTCCTAGTAAATCCGCCTCAGCACTAAGTCTATGTTGGTGTAATTTGGCGTTGGTGTGAAATGCTTCCTGCACTGATATCATTCCGAGGTCACGATGCAAGTCAGAATTACTCACGTACAATGGCGCGTTTGTTACACTCCGTAGCAAAAAATTGTGACTCTTTGAATGATGGAAATTTGTGTTCTGCTTGCGCGCAACCACCAGCTAGATTCTATATGTCCAGATTGGCTGCAGCATTTGTTTGTATGTTACAAGTTCATTGAAGAGAGTGAATTTGAATTTCCTGATGATTCACCATTTCAACGATTTGAATTTAAGATCTTATTCGCTTCTTTACTTTTTAATGTACTCGCTCCATCTTCGTTTTGGGTCTAATGTCATACCTAAGTATTTCGATGTAAACAGGTATATAACTGACGTTTCGATTTGTGAAATTTACTTGCACTGATTTTTCTTTATTCAGGTTGATTTTTCATTTTCTTGTCTAAGCAATTATATTGTCAATACTATTTCGCAAATTATTAGCTGCTATTACTGCGCTTTCTCCAACTGCAAGGATTGCAGTATCATCAGCAAAACTTGCTGTGAACGTCGTTGCACACGTTGGCAGGTCATATGTATAAATTAGATATAAGAGGGGAACTAAGACACTATCTTGGGGAACTCTAGCGTTATTTTACACAATTTACAATAGGCATCACCGTGCTTTACTCGAAAGTAACGATCAGATAAGTAAGAGGAAATTATGTCATAATACTCCGTCGGGAGAATAGTTTTTACTTTAGTAAACAATCCGGAGTGCCAGAGTTTATCGAAAGCCTGCGAGACATGTAAAAACACGGCTGAGCATATTTTTTTTCTTCAAGATCCTTTTCTACTACATTGGCAATCCTATGAACTTGTTCCATAGTGGAGTGAAGGCAATAAGGGTATTTTACACATCAATAAACGACCATTTAATTGTTTATCAGGATCCAGTTACTCAGAATCGGAATTTACGCAATAATATGTTTTCATTGTATTTTAGCCTAACCTTGTAAATCATATTGAAAAAATTTTGAATGGATAAGTTTTTGGAAAATAAAATATTCATTTTGATTATATTTTTTGGAACCTGCTAAATATCTTAGGCCATATCTTGGATTTTCGATTCATATTCAAGTTAAATATCAAATTTAAAGCAATCGAATTTTCAATAATCGCTTTTCACATTTTAACAAGATAATTTCAAAGATGGTAGGTAGACCTAGCTGGCCAAGACCATGCAAACTCCTGGCTACTTGAATTTTAACATGTATTTGTATAGTTGTTTGTATAGACCTAAGTACCTTCCTTATTTAGTTCTCTGCAAGGTTGGTGCCAATTGTAACAATACTGTTAACCTTTTCATTTATCAATTGCCTTCCTGCATTGCTCAATATTTTTAAAATATGTCCAGTATTAAGAGATTGCATTTAAAGCCACTTGGCTGTTTACAAAAAGTTTATTGTACAGATAAATATTTTTCCAAGCAAAAAAATTTTTAACAGCAAATACATATGCCTAAAAAACATAAGTATGGTCAGAAAATCCATAAAACTCTCCTATACCCAGTTCAACACAGTAGACATCGGCTCCAACTCTCATTGTACTTCACAACCGTCTGTATAGTTATTGAAAGAATATCGCTTTAGATTTTGCGCTAACCCTAATATTCGATAACTGTTGTGATAATTCTTCGAAGGATCATAGTCGATACCATGAAGTCTAAAGAGTCTACAGTATTAAGATTTATACAGTTATGACCGAATGTTTTTTTAATTATAAATTTTGTAATCCTAGACTATCAGCTAAGTTTAGTACCCTATTTTGTGCAATAGATCAATTGTATAAAGCGGTAGTTGCCATCCTGACTCACACCTCAACATTAAGCTGTCCAAAGCAGAAAAAAGTGTAAAACTGAGATGTTTAATTCTTTCAACATTGATACCTAGACCAATGCTCGCTGTTGAATGGTATATGGTTTCTACGTGAACGCTTGATTGTTAGTTTTTATAAACCTGTTTTCCCAATCGTCCGATTTGAAATGAAGTTCAGTTGAAAATAGAATGTGCACATTTTGATACCGAAGTTTTTATTGTTGAAGTGTAAATAAAAACGATAGCAATATACATGTGTAGAATAATTAAATTTTAATTTTTAAAATTTTTATTTTTTAATTTGATACATTAATAGTACATGCTATAGTAAAATAGTCCTTTGTAAAATTAACCATGTAATTTTGAGTAACGTTTTCATAATTTCAATACTAGTTTTAATAATTTTACAAGCGTTAATCAATAAATAAGCATGTAACATAATATAATGTTATGTATGATCAGTTCTTTTTGAGATAATACCTTGTGATCAAAAAAGAACTTATTCACGGGAACTGTGTTTCCCGCGCTTATCCAATCGGTAAATCGGTTATTTTATTTTCACGCTGGCAACACTATTATACACATTCTGTCAAAGTTTAACGCATATCGTACGATTAGTTTTTGTTTGGCGTCTATATAAAGAAGTCGAAAAATTTTCATGTGACGATTTTTACCTCTATGGTCTCAATGGCAATTTGAATTTACCGATTGGATAAGCGCGGGAATTCAAAAATAGGCCTCTTGTTCTTTTTTGATCAGAAGGTAGATTCTTATTACACATAATATTTTTAAGTTATATTTTTTTCTATTATGTTGAGCTTTTTCCGAGCTAATGCATTTGGGTACTTTTACTCTTTGATAGCTGGGATGTTTCCCACTCTTCTCACTGACTAATTTATGTATTCTTTAAAAGCTTCGTGATTATTCGATGACTGATCTAAGATCTGCGTACCGCCCCGTGTGGCTAGTGGTTATTCTGAGATTAGATAGTGCTAAGTAGAACAGCCATTCGGTTTTATGCGAATAACTTCAGGTCTCTGTCCCTTGTGTATTTTTTGACCGGGTTTATTCTAAGGTTTCTTAGAATATGTGCGGATGTATCATGGTAATTTTATTCTATTAACACAAGTAATTTATTAAAACATTTAGTTCACATTCTAATATAATTTGTACAGCCTTATATTAAAATTTAACTTTACAAACTTTGCATGAAATAGCTTATCTCTTAATACATAGTGGACTTAATATTTTCTTTTTCTCTGTTGCTGAGCTTTTGGTATTGCTTTCACTCAATTGCTTTTAACACTGGTACTATATGTATTAGCCTCTATACCATTCATTCTATTTTTACTGGCCGATAGAGTGAATTTTCGATTGGGCTCAAAAAATACTATATATTGGCCCATAATACTTCAGGAACTACACCGTTTAGAAAAAAGTATGAAAAGCGATTATTAAGAAATTCAATTATCTTTAATTTGATATCCAACTCAAATATCAGTCGTATATTTTCAACTATAAAAAAATAAATTCGAAACCTGATAGCATCTAAACATATCCATTAAAGATTTTTGAGAGTGATTTTAGAGTTTAGCGGAGTAAAGTACCTAAGAAAATAATTATAGCAGAATAATAATAACAGAAATAATAATAAGAGAGTTAATGTTATCTGCACTATATTATTATTTTTTGACTAATAAAATGTCAGTGCACTGTGAATCAATTTTTTGAAGCTTGGATTTAACAATTGATGACTGTGTTGTCCCAGAAAAAGTATTAAATGTTTTTTCATTTCTTGTTAAATTGATGGTTTAAGAAAATAAGTCAGTCATATTTAGACTTACAAAATAGTTGAAGTTCAATAAAAATATTATTAATTGAATAGAAAAAGTTGTTTTTACGTAGACCGTATATTTGCTTAACTCCAAATGAACTTTTTTGATAACAAATTCATGTTCATTGTTGTTTTTATAATCTACATCAGGGCTGTCCAGTTCAGATGCGATCCCGGGCCAGTACAAATCACTGTACAGGTTGGAGGGCCGCAGAAATAAATACATACAGTCATTGTTGTTTACGACAAAAATAAAAATATGGTTATAATGTTAAATTTAGTTTTATTAATTTATTGATTTAAATTCATTTATATGGTACACCATGAAAATAAACTAATGTGGTTTCAACAGTACATCAAAAGAAAATTTGCATAATTGTAGTAGATTAAAAACATGTCGCGATCCACATGTTTGTTTGTGCGACCAACGGACCTAACTTTGGACAGCCCTGATCTACATAATCTAATCATTTTGCCTATTGTCGGTAATAATTTTAATATTTATGCTGGACCAAAAGTCGCTTGATCTTTACTCTAAAAGCACGATAGTCAAATTTTTGTTTAGTTGGTACATTTTAATTGAATAATTCTTAAGAATGTTGTGTTTATATTTTGTTTTAATTAATGATACTATTAAATTTATTTAGGATATTTCTAAATTTGATAAGGTGTGAGGTCCAGAAAAAAACGGAAACAAAATAAAAAAATTGTTAGTATACAATTTAAAAAATATATAATTTGTAAAACTATTGGTTAAGATTACTACTTCAACATAGACAATTTTAATTATTTAAATTAATTCCAAAATGCTTAGTCAATTACTTTTAAAACGCAGTAACCTTTAAGTCTCTACTATTTACGGAACCTCAGATATGGCCATTTAAGAATCAGTCTAAAATAAAAATTCTTTAAACATCATGAGTCAATATTTCGCGAAAAAAAATATTTAACTATTTTTCCGAAATCCGGGTCTTTTTGTTTTATTAGAAGACTTTATTACAAACATTTAAACCAAATCGGAGATGATGCATTCAATTTATTTTCAAAACCCAATATTTTTACAAAAAAAAAATGACAGTATTGTGTTGTTAAAGTGTTAATAGGCGTTTTCGATGCCGCAAGTGTGGCAAAAAAAACACATGCTGGCCTATATTCGCTAAGCGAGAGATTGGCATCACTATCTGTCCTGTCAAATGTATTTGTTCTCATAAACAACAAATCTTCCACATGTGCACATAAATCAAGCAAACTACATTTTTATAATAAAATAAAATAACATACATGTTAAAAAAATCTATGTGCTTTGTATTTATGATTTTTCCATTATTTTTCAAAATTTTTATATATTTGTTATTTTTTTTGCTTTTTTCCAATATTCAATGAAATTTTTGAATTTCGTTTCAATTTTTGTTTACATATGATTTTTGACGTATGATTTCCATATTCGTTGGAGTTTCCAATGAAGGTCCGCGGACCATCGGTTGTGAACATATACTATAGACCCTTTGAAATTTGTTTCTAAAGTAGATATGGAAGCAAATTCGTAATTATTCAAGAAGTTTCAGTTTAGTTAATTACTATATATACCGTCTTCCAATCTAAAATGCAAGGTGTGTCATGTGGGCGCTAAGATAGTGAGGTGTATTATGACATTAAGGAAAGGTAAATATGATGGATTGTTTGACTATTTCTTTATCTCGAAATAAAGAAATGGGTATGTGTTTTGTCCATATATACTAAATTACGTATAATTATAAGGTATTATGTACAAGCTTTATGTTTTACGACTGAATTAATGGCAAAATAAGTTTACTAAAGAAAGTTGTGCTGGAAATAGATTACATTAAATAACGAAAAATCATATAATTAATAGTACAACAATATTAATAAAATATAAATTGTTCATATATAATTTATTTTAAAAAGTATATCCACACTAATTTCCTGCCACACTAATTTAATTATTTTGCCGAGGTGCGCTCAGTGCAGGGTAGGCCGTTGAAATTAAATTTCATTGCTTGGACGGATTATTATATATTCCAATTTAAATACTTTAGAAGCAATTTTTATTATCAAATTCTTACGTACTAACAATGAACTTTTAAATTTATATAACTTAGTAAATATATATAACTACTTAATGGTTAAGGAATTTAAACGCCGATAAACACTAGTCAGTGGTGCCCAAATGTCAGTGATTCTGTTACCGCTAGCGCCCAAAAGCCGATGATTCTATGCAGAAGAAATAACCGTTGACGTCAGTGGTTCTACAAGCTTCCTCTCTATATTCTACTGACTACTGACTAGATATATATATATATACTAGATATATACGAGATCACAGCTGCGTTTTCAGTGTTTTTCTTAGGAAATTTGTGTTCTTATTAAACTAACTGACTTCTCTCTTGATTATTGCAATAATATTCTAACCTTGTGGAGTTGTTGCTGATATCAATGATTCATACACTCATCAAGTTTTTTGCTTAAGTCTATCGTGAAGGTGAGTGCTGCAGCGTTCATTAACCCGGCATACGAAAATTGTAAACAAACTAAAAATATAAATAATATTAAATGAATTTAAAGACATTACAGAACATTTGTATGCTTGTGCTAATGCTTTGCCTAAATAGTATATCAACAACTATGCGAATGTGATTATATGAACATGATCACATATGCAGACAAAATTGTTTACTTTATGTTTTTATTATCATGTGTCATAATTATTCTACAATAATTGTTTGTAATTAAAATGAAAATTGTCTATTTTGTTTTGTTACAATATATACAATATATATAAATATTTAGGGATATATAAATATTTATGCATTTGCTCATACATTATTATTTTGGTTTTTTATTTTTATATATATATACATTGTTCATACATTATACATTATATATATACATTGTTCTTTCTGAAAAATAAATTTTACTTCCTTAAAACCTTACGATCTCATTAATTTTAACATTAATGATTTGTATTGGTTAAAATTAATGATTTGTATCTGTTGGTTAAAATTTTGCTTCGAAACATTAGAACATTATAGGTGTTGTTGTTGTTCTTGTGATTTAAGTTAGTGCTATTGCGCACTTTTACTCTATTGTGGATGGGGGGCTTAATCCTGCCCACACTAAACTTAAACTATACTAGAATCATTATCATTTATTTATTTTCTAAGTGATGACGGACCGTAGATCAGCATATCTTCGTGTGCGTCCTAAAATGAAATTGGAAATGAGAACTGGAAAAATTAAAACCAATTCGAGACTCGAACTATATACTTTAGTACCTACTAATAAGATCTGTCCCACATACTACTCGTGTAAAACTCTATTACACAAGTAAATTTACACGAAAATACACAAACATTTGCTGGTGGAACGCACTTGTGTATACATAGTATTACTCAAAGTTACTACTAGTAGCTCGTGGAACAGACCTATACTATTCTGTACTGTAAAATAATAAAATATTATGCTGAAAGACGACATACTATTATGGACGTGTGCGAGTTAGGCTAAGTTGATGCTAAACCAAATGGGAGATTTTTTGGGATTTTTTGCACTGCACACATTTAGCCATTTATCAACACGTATCGACACATCACTACATTATCGGCACAACTTAGAATTTCCCTCATTTAGAACGCAACTTAGCCTAACTCGCACACGACCTATGAATATTTTTCATAACTTTATAAATCATAAGTTTATCATATTAAAAATAAGAATTAGTTGGTTTGTAATAAAAATATTTTAATATCCAAATTAACTTTATCAGGAAATAACGTTGAGAACTTCTTTCATTTTACAGTTTTTTTTACCGCTGTTTCTGCTACTGTCCAACAAATATATCCTCTTCGGTCCTGGCGTGCAGCCGGCTGGACACTTTTCTACTGCCTTTTTGGAAGTTTTGTGAAGGTTTTACTACTATATATCCATCTGTACAGCTCACTAATAGTTTCGTGTTTGTTATTTTAGTGCACCTTTTGCTGTAAATCGTCTAATTAATTTATTTTTTTTATTTGAATACATATAAACAAAAGCTAAAAGATTTTAAGAATTTTTTCTTTGTGGGAAGCCTTCAGGACCGAGGAGGATATATACATACATACATATGAAATATTTGGTGATTTGTTATTGTTGCTATAATATATTTAAATATATGTAAGCAATTATAAATGTTACTGTTGAGTGTTCTAAGAGTTCATTTATAATATATGAAATTATATTTTAGTAAATGAATACTAAAAAATTAGAACCAAGAAGTTTCGATTTATTATTTAACATAACAACTGTAACATAATCAACAAAACAAATTTGACTCTATTCAGTAACGTAACATATGTAGTCTTCTTTTAAACTAATATAAACATTCCAGCGCTTTTCTAACACTTCGATACCTCTCTTGTAAAATGATTAATTTTTGACCTCGAAATATGTTTCAATTGCGGCGATAACTAGAAATTGCTATTGACAGTCTGGCGCATCCCAAAATATGGACACCATAACTTTATCAACTGTCTGTTACGTTTTTGGCCCTTTGGGCTAGATTCGCCAATTGCTATTCAATGAACTGATTGCCGATTCGTCTTAGGAGTGAAGTGGTAGCACCAAGTTGTTATATAAATTGTTATATATATATCGATGTATCAATAAGTTGTTCTTTTTAATCACCTGAATGTATACACTGAACTCACTTTGAAAACAGCTTTCTCACAAACAAACGTTCATGCAAAATGAGTCCGACACATTCCTTTGAAATCTTTTAGGTGTCACCTATCTCTTGGCACTTCACTTTACAAATTACAGATATAATTTTGTGGAGTTTTTGGTGTTTTCCAGTGTAAGCACCAGGAGACTAAGGCATTCGGCATCATCGGCATTTTTACGGCTGCGTTGAAATTAAGCAAACTAATCTCTTCAATTTGTCTCGATGAAATAAAGTCAGGGTAGCATTCATCAAGTCAAGCTTTTGCTATCGCAGTTTCTTTTCCCATCAAAAAGCAATGATAAGTCAAAACACCAAATTATATTGGTGGTTATAGCAAAAACAGCGATAACTATAACGGTCGTTCAACTGTTATGAAATTTAAAAGTTGCCACTTTTTACAGTTTAAATAAATTTTTTATAAATGGTACTGCCAGTGTGTCATTCTACTTATAATCCAATGTATTTTATGCTTTTTTACTGATATAAAAAGTGCTTGACTGGAAATATAAAACATTACAAAAATATACATATTAAAACATGAAGGTGTAAATCACTTTCAAATCCTTCAAGTATTTCAATATATAAAAATCATTTACTCCGTATTTTATACTATTCATAGATTGAGATATGAATCTATATTACATCACTCAATAAGTCGTGTGACTGGCACACAGATAACGCTGCCTTTGTCAAATCCATATGACGTTTATGAAGAACCAACCTATTTTGAAGTATAGCCATTTAAGTGAAGCTACTTTTAGTACTATTTGTTATTTCAAAACAATGGACTCAAAACAATTTCGTGTGTTCATTTATCATTGCTTCTTGATGAAAAAAAATAGCGTACAAGCTCAGTAATGGCTTCAAAAGTGTTATCGGGGCTCTGGTCCATCGAAAAGAACCATTTGTTATTCGTTTGCTGAATTTAAACGTGGTCGTACAGACACCGATGATGGTGAACGTTCTGGTAGTCCAATTGAGGTGGTTACTCCAGAAAACATCAAAAAAGTGCAGAAATTGGTTATATCTGATCGTAAATTGAAATGGCGTGAGATAGCTGAGACCGTAAAGATATCAGAAGGCAGTGTGTTTACAATTATGCATGAACATTTGACCAAGAGAAAGTTCTTTTCAAACTGGGTGCCGCATTTCTCACAGGCGATCAAAAACAACAACGTGTTGATGATTCATAGCAGTGTTTGGCCATATTTACACGTAATAAATCAGATTTTTTGCATCGATATGTAACAATGGATGAAACATGGATCCATCACTTCACTCCGGAATCAAAACGATCATCATCTGAGTGGACTGCAGCCAGTGAACCATGTCAGAAGCGTCCAAAGCCACAACAGTCAGCTGGGAAGGCTATGACATCAGTATTTTGAGATACACATGGTATGATCTTCATTGACTATCTCGAAAAGCGAAAAACCATTAATAGTAACTACTACAAGGCATTATTAGATCGTTTGAAAGCAGAAATTGTGAAAAAATGACCGCATATGGCGAAGAAAAAAATTTTGTTTCACTAAGACAATGCACCATGTCACAAGTCAATAAAAACGAAAACATGGCAAAACTGCACAAATTACACTTCGAATTGCTTTCTCATCCACCGTATAGTCCAGATCTGGCCTCCAGCGACTAATGGGTATTCGCTGATCTCAAAAAATGCTCGGCGGTAAAAAATTCAACTCAAATGAAGAAGTAATTGGTGAAACTGAAGCTTATTTTGAGGTAAAAGATAAATCCTTCTACAAGCACAGCATCAAAAGAGAAGGGTTGGAATAATTGCATTGCCCTTGAAGTAGATTATATTGATGAGTATAATCGATCTTTGGTAAAAAAAATTTGTTTTCCTTAGTTAGTCACACGACTTATTGAGTGATGTGTTAAGAATGTATATTAATGTATATAAATCTAAAATAGTCTAATTTTTAAAACTTAAATATCTGTTTCCATATTTTTTATTTCATTGTACTTTTATAATAAAAACTGTTATATGTATTTATTTTTTTGCAGAATTTGAGAGAACACATTATCCAGATGTATTTGCCAGAGAAAGACTTGCAGAAAAAATTGGTTTGCCCGAGGCACGTATTCAGGTTTGTCTTTTATTTTTAGTTTTTTGTTCATTATATTTATTTTCACTATGTTTCTCAATTTAATTTAGTTAACTTTTTTACCTTAAATGAAAACTGCACTATATTTCAAACTCTACAAGTATACTCTCTGTAATAATCGTAAATTGTCAGATATTTTGATCAGATAGTCACTAAAAATATCTAAAGTGACTAAAGATAGTCACTAAATTAATTAAAGCAGTTTGCTTGCTTAACTTAATTTAAATGTCATTTTTCTAACTTACGCAAATACTTTTGCACTTATGTGGATTAAAGCGGGATAACCCATCAGATTGTCTAACAATATGTCTTGAATATTTTATTAGATCTAAATAAAGCAGTCGTCTTATTAGGGTCATATCTCTATAGCGATTTAGAAGAACTACAGAATTAGCGATTTCGAAGAACTAGCATTTTCTTATGTAAAATTGTAGTAGCAGTAGTATTATATTTAAAATTTCATTAATAATAAAATAAATAAATGAGTGATTGCAAGTTTTTTCAGAATTCTTTCACAATATTGGAAGTAGTAATTCACCATTATAGTGGCTCACGTTATAACAGGGAAAATTAAAAATGAAGTTTTAAGTGAGCGAACCCCGTAGGAATATGCCATTGCCCAAAAAAATGATATTCCCAAAGTTTTGGACCAATAGGATTACAAATGACGTTGCGCCACTCGAGCAAAGTTGGGTTTTCAGTATAAAAAGCAGAAATTTTCCAATTCAAGGTCATTTTTTATCTTTGTTACGTATTTCAACAGTTATTAATATATACTCATTTGACAGATAATTAATTAAAATACATTTCTACTTAATAATTTATATAGATATTTAAGTAGAATTGAAAATGTAGTCAAAACAAGAATTTTTTCGTAAGCAAAGAGAAAATGGTCGTACAGGGAGTATGACTTAAGTTAATATTTGCATTAATCCACGTTCACGATATCTGTGTAACATTCCAATACTCACGAAGTATTCGAATAGTTGCACTACGAATAATAATCGCAAATCCAGAAATTTGTAAGCTTCGAATTCACAAAAAACACGATTTTCTTTTCAAGTCCGGCGACTTTGTTTACTATCCGAATAATTAGATTCCTTGAATAGTTCGTAAAGCCGAATACGAACAGCACAAAATGTTACTACTTTTCACAATTACAGATAGTAATATTCATGAATTTAAGGAACCCCACTTTATTTAAATATCAAGACTTCAAATCAGTTACCTCAGTTTCCAATTTATTGTGTTCCAATTTATTAATGTCAATGAAATGTTAAAAAATAAAATATTAATTGGAGCATATTAATTCCATATAATTATTTGAAATTTAATTCCTTATATTAACGAAAATATCATTTTTTAAAATTTTTTTGAAAATACAGCCTTGCATTTTCCAGCAACGTTGCTAACTTGGCACTAGCAATAATTATTACTTGTTAAAATACAGCAGAGTTGCCATACACACCAAATTATATAAAGCAACAACATCAAGTTTTAACAGTTTAATCAACTCCGAAATTGAATATATACAAATGTAATAAAAACTACAAGTTTTATATAGATTTAATACTTAGCAGTACCTGTGAAAACAAATACTTAGACGTAGAACATAGGCTCAGAGTACTGAATATTCCGTGGTTGATTTAATTACGTAGTTCATTTAAAAATTAACAGTTAAAAATTAAAACCAAAGATGATTTTATATTCTCTTATAAAAACTATCCATTTGACCGCAAGCAACGAGTCTCGTTCTTATGTACCAAGTATTCCCCAGTAAGGGGTTCAAGTTTTCTGGTGAGATTAATTAAAGCCTCATTACAAAGTGATAAAAATTATAGATAAGGTTGCAAATTAAACTTTATATCTTTTAGTAATACGGCATTTACATTGTGTGATTAAAAGTAGATAACAGCAAAAATGGAGATTAAAGAACTATGATTATTTATGTGTGCAACTCTGCAAATGGCTTAATATCGTAGATTTTTTACGATCTTAGAATAATTGGAAAAGAAATGTTTTATTAGTCAAAACAAATAAAACAAAAACATTGAAAATTTGAAAATGCCGAAGTGAGTAAATTAACAATAAATTTGTTTAATTATAGTTTTGTACAGAATTTATAACTAAAATTTGTTAAATTATTGTTATAAAACTATTTATTAAATTTATAAAAATTTATAAAAAACACGAATCAAAACACAACAAAAGAAACGTCAAAATTAATTTCGAATGTATGATGTAAACGGTGGAGATTAAAAATGTAGATTAACTTAACCTCGTTCTCTTAATCTTACAATGTTAACGTAGTATAAAAGATGATATCTAAATCACGAATTATTAAAAGGTAATAGCTTCACCTTCACGGCTAAAACTCTTTACCTTTCATACATTTTTTTTTGAAGAATACTATGTTATCCTTATTCACGTATAAAAGAATGTTATAGAAAATAGTGAAAAGAATTACTGAAGTAAGGAAAAAATTAAATTTTTACTAAATATTTTCAAACTTGTGTTAAATTTTACTCAGTGCCTAAATGGACTTGCTGTTGCAAAACAGCACACACGAAAATTGCTACCTTTTAACTATACGTGTCTATTCCCCGCAGTTTATAGTAGCATCGATGCCAAAGGTTCACGATGACATCGATGGTTTATTTATACTTTAGTCAGCTTTAAGGTATCAATGTACGAAATTTATTGCTTTATGCTGTATTTCACCTCAAAATTTAATAAAAATTTTGTATGTGTTTTTTACATATATATATATACATAAGTTCTTGTACTTTTTTATATAATATGAATTTAATTCTTTTAAAATACGAGTATATATAAAATAGAATACATATATTTTTCACAAATATAAATAACTTTAATTTGAATTTGTTTATTTTTTGTTGATACTTTTGGATGCTTTGTGGCAGCGATAAAAATTCCCCTACAAAATTATATAGATTCCACCACACAATTATATTGATTCCCCACACCTTTTTTTACATCAAAACACCACCACTGCAATCATGCTTTTAAGTATGTCTAGGTATCAATAAAGCATCGATGGTTTTCCTATGACCTGTAAGGCACAGAAATGCATTTACTTGGTATCGTAGTGGCATCGATGGTTGATTCAAGCTGTCTCAACAAGCAATGCCTCGCGTTGAATGGCTTACGTACCGTAGTAATTAAAATATTATATGTATATCCGTTGCTGAAACATTGCGTTTAAGTGTGAGAATGAAATATTAATACAAATATGCGCGGTCATCACCTCAAATATGCATGTACACACTATACTATAAATCATCTGGTTTTAATAACAGGCCTGTGTGCTTATTTTACACTTGTAAAAACTTCATAATATTCAACAAATTAAATAGGATGCAATAAACAATAACCTGGGGACACAGTGTTAATACATAATTGCTAACTGTAATTAATTTGTAGTTTGTAATTGAATTAATTTTTTTATTTTTGCTTAATAAACATAACTGTTTAACTATGTACATTGTGCAAAGGTCACATTTGACAAGCCACAGCCTATTGTAGTTAATGGGATAGAAGTAACAACCAAGTGTACCTTACTTATTATTTCATTATAATAATTAAAATGTTATTGCCGTTAATAATTATTAAATTCTGTAAAATACATAAAAAGACATTAAAAAAAATAAATATACAAGAGCAGCAACAGCGAAAAACTGGAAAATGCATTCATTTCACAAAAAAAAATATTTGTAGCAAACGTGACATAAAATTAAATTTGTCCTCGTTCTTACATCGACAATAGTCAAATAATAATTTACAGTCAGAGGTAGAAATTTAAACACACCCTATAAACAAATTTTCCAGAATTCAAAATATCGCCAGAAAATATAATTAAAATGATTAAAATAACCGGTCGTATTGACCGGTGTGCGGAGATATGTGCGGAGATGTGTTCAAATTTCTCGGAGAACCGCGAGTTTGTGAACTGGACGTCGCAAAACTCCATTAACCAGTCATTGATTGATGTCATATGACCTACATCGTTTTTCATGAAATCCATTAAAAGATCTTGAAGCACTGAGTAGAAATTGATTTTTAGCTTTCTAGAATGATAATCCCAGCAAATTACCAACACACTTGGAAGAAAGTTTTACTTCAAACTTACCTTATAGTAAGGTTTAATTTTTTAACTTAAGTTCCTTTTTTTGTACAAATATTGTTTTTGAGACGTTGGGCATGGTCAACCTTACCAACACCATTCATGTAACATAGGAAAATCAGCAATTTGTTTTGTTTGTTCAAATAACAGTTTAAATCAGGCTTCAGCACCAAGAAGTAAGTATAAAATTGAAGGGCATATATATTCATGATCACAATTTTACCAGGTTTGTGATTGAATATTGAATGCATTATCAAGAAGCTGGAGAAAACTCATGAGAGTTAACATATAATCTCATTGTGGCATGATTTGTGCCGTACTGTGAAATCCGCCTTACTAATACCAGTTAAATTCAACGTTTCTGTATCTTTTATAAATTAAGCTCCTCAGTTAAGAAATTTATTGAAGAACCGAAATCAAGAATCGAGAATCGTGCTCTAGTGAATTAATACTCTCCAGATTGGCCTTGATATTGCCTAATATTGATATTGCCTAGATATTTGCCTAATGTAATATCTAGAATAATTTGATCATCAATCGATGAATTATGATTTACACAAGCAAAAACGATACTGGGTGGATCAGGATTGTGAGCTGAACCTATTGGTGAAGTACTTGTAGAGTATTGGTATAGGAGAGTACAGTGTAACCGATTATACACGCAATAGATTGAGCACGATTTTTGTATGCGTTTTATTGAGACAATTTAGGCATGCCGAATGTGTATTTGAGAAAGTAATAGAAACAGCGAAAGTAGAGTATGAATTTAGTACATATTCTTCTGAATTGCAAAATAGACATTTACCGTGAACTGAAAGCGTGTTTCTTGCACATTAGTAAAGATTTAAGATTGCTATTTTGCCAGTTATTCTCTTTTCTGGCCTGTTTGAGTGAAAACTTATTGTGTCATATTACTCTTTTGTTTATTTATTATATTCATTTCAAGCTAAGTTTATTGATTTGTGGACGCTTTTTAGATATTTGAGATAAATGTCTGGGATTAAACTATGGGGTGTTCTAAACTAATTAGCTTAACTACGTGCTATCGTCGATTTCTAACTGAAACATACATTTAGATAGCATGACGCGATAGCGCTCGCTATTCATCGTAGTAGCAGCTCTTTCTTCATTTCGAAGAAATAAGAACCGACGATACTGCTAGCATGTAAACCGCACCAAACAGTCAATTTTAATGGGTATTTCTCACTATCTTTTTCACACGACATGGTTTGTAATTATTATAATTTATATTGAAATCAAGTAAATATTAATGCAAATATTAAAACAATACTGATGCCATTATTTTATGTATATCTCCGCTTATACAGCGCAGGATTTGAAAAAAAAATCTTGCGAAAAAACCTTTCGTGCAATAAGTGTAGTTATATAAGAACATTTAAAAAAAACAAGTGCTATGGACTATACATTTAAACACTCTCAACACTAAATAACTGTAAACAACTAACCAAATATTTTAGTCGATCATATTTAGTCATAATTAATCGTCTTATTAACAGATGTTATTTAATTGATCATGAAAAACGCGGAAAATGCGAAGAAATTTTTGTACAATATTTATTTATAAAAAATAAATGTTTACTTAGATTTCGATACATGTTTCAGATAAGTCAAATTTAGGTCAATTCCCTTTTGGGAAATATATCATGATTTATTCTTAAATAAGTTAAAAAGCACGAAAGCTTTTTGTATCGTTCATTAGATTTTATTATACATCTTCAGCAAATAAACTGCTTTAGCGAAAGCAATTGGAACATACTATAACTCAGAAAAAGTGATTAGTTGTGACAGAGCACACACAATGCAAAACAGCATAAAAATAAAAACAACAATAATCACAATTTGATCACCAAAGAGTGATCACACATAAGGAAATAAAATGCAATTGCGCAATGTGTATGTCAGCTAATAAAAGATTAAATAATAATAATGTTTACATTAAGAAATCAAAATTCAATTGGCACTCACATTCCCCCTACATTTCCTTTAGCATCAACAAATGAATGTATTATTATCCATAAGGTAAAACACTTCAGTCAATTTCTAACAACACAACTAATTCATCTTCAAGGAAGAAAATGAGCACAGTCTTGTAAAAGCTGTTTATCAGAACCCCGTACACGATTTATAAACCA